CGGGGCCTTCCGGGGCTGCCCGCGCCGCGCCTGACAGAAAGTCCGGGGAGGTGCCCGCCCGCCTGCCGGGCAGAGGCGGATCCCGTGAAAGGAGCCCTGGTGTGCGGATCCTGATCGACGGCCACGGAACTCGCCCGGCACAAGTTCGACCCTTTCGCTAAAACAGGGGCAAATGCCGGGTTTTTTTCATGGCTGTGCCGTGAGACGGGGCTAGGAGAGGTTTGACAGAGCAGGGGTGGCGGGGAAGCGGAAAAACGAGCCCAGCCTGTCAGGGATTCTGAGGAGAGAGTTCTGTGGAGTGGCAGGCCTGCCGTCCATAAGGAATTGTGTTTGGTAATGTAAAAAATAAGCAGCCAAGAAGTTGGTTTACGACATTAAAGAAGTGCACCGAAATTTAGATTTGCAGGAACGTGAGCCTTCTGCTCCTGTGTGTCAGTCACAGCTGCCTGACTGGAGATCCAGGTAGTCCTGGGCAGGAAAGCGCGGTGGGAGAAGCAAACCGACAGCAGAAGTGAAGAGGCTGCTCAGGTTTGGAGTTTCTTGTTATTGTAGTGGGCTTTCTTATTATTTCCATGCCACAGTCTCCAATTCGTGTGGCAGATGTTTACCACAAAGATAAAGTACGGATTCTTGACCCAAGAACCTTTATATAGCCACGGGTTGCATCAGCTGTGTGGCGCCTGAAAATGTAGTGGACTGGTGAGCAGCTTCCAGAGCTGCTGGTGTGACTCACTGTGTTTGTGCATCGTCAATACTGGAGCAGACGGGAATCATCATGGGAAGCCGATTGCAGGCAGGAGCAAGTTAAAAGCGGGCCTCCCTCCCCTCAGCTGAACACGCAGGGACAGTTCAAAACTTGCCTCAGCAAGAAGTTGCCCTGCTGCAAGAATTTTTGTTTTGAATTAAAGAAGTGCTTATTTAATTTAGGGGAGGAATGATTACTTCAAGTGGCATATAAAAACAGATTTGATCCTCTGACTAACTTCACAGTTATTCTAATGCTGTCTTGCAAAACTTCAGCTTAAGCCCTTTCTGTCATCATTTTAAAGCTAGTTTAATATTTATGGATCACAGGAATGGATATGGAGGATTAAATACGCTATCAGGTTCTGCCTGCAAAGCTAGCTGGCAGGGCGTGTTATGACAGACAGAGGCCCTGTCTCCACACGAAATCTCTTGGAGTAAAGTGTTATATTTAGAAAAAACATGTCTGTATTTCAGCTCTGCACCATGAAAAATATAGAATTTACACTACCTGATAACTACACAGAGAAAATATGTATCATTAAATATGCATTCAGCCTAGGTTTCCAAGCGTGAAGATAGTCACGAGCCTGAACAGCTCTTAGTGAGGAAGCATATTGGCAACAGATAGAGAGACTTCTGGGAGGATATCAAGCAAAGTAGAGACGGGAAGCCAAATCCTAAAAGGCATTATTGAATAAAGGAAGGTAGGCATTTTCTGTGAGCTGAAGTCCTTACTCTTGCCAGTGATTTACATAGACGGCCAATCTCCACATCAAGCAGGAAAGAATGGGGGAGAAACTCCACATGTTGAAACTCATGTCCACATAGAGGGCATGTAAGTGTAATCATAAGGGAGCAGTAACTGTGAACTTAATTGAACTCTGCTTTATTTGGGGCCAAGTAAGACATTCAGGATTTGCTACATTTTTTTTTCCTGAGTAAATTGCATGACAGGTTTATTTAAAATTTCAGTAATGTTTTTATTCATAACATTTACCTTGATTAACACGTTCCCAAGATCCTTCTTTAGCTCCACATTTCAAAGAAACAATCATGTTTCACAGTTTGTCTCCATTGAACCATGCACTGGGCATGCTGTCTGGGTCTGATCCAGAAGGCCATCCTATCTGCCAATATGTTGTACATGGTTTCCCAAATCTGTGGCCTACTGAGCACTTAAAGACTGAAAAGCCTTTGCAGGTTGCTCACAAAAGGATTTCTTAATGATGTCTGTCTCTAGCAGATAAAGGTACTCAAGCTGTGGGGTGAGTTCTGGTCCGGAAACCAGAGCTAGCAGTCAAGCAGACCTACATTCCAGACGCAGCTCTACATTCCAGACTGCAGGTGCTTCCTTTACTGCCCTGCCTCATCCCCTCAGAAACCCAGCCTAAACTGCTCTTCCTCGATCAAACTGCAGTTGTAGGATACAGATTCCAATTTCTCCTAGGCTGTACAGCTAACGCCACACCTGCTTCTGCTTCAGAAACACCACATCCTCAAGACTGGGGTGAACATGAGTGGCAACACCCAGCTTAACGTGAAGATCTGAAACCCCATGAAAGTCCCAGGCTGGTGCTCCACCCATTAACGTACTGTGAAAATCTTACTACACCATGGTAGATCGAGTTTCCCTCCTACTCTCCCTGGCTTGAACGTAGAGCAAGACAGGGAAAGCAGCTTCAGTGGGAGCCATTTCAAAAGTTGCTGGGAAAAGGAGCTTGAAAGGGAGGAGTGGGGACTCGATAAACATTACTTTATTTTTTCAGAGTGGAAAGTACCATGCCAGAAAACCCATTCCCAGTCCCCAAGCTCCCACAGCCATGATTCTGGTAGCTTCTTTGGGAGAGCCCCATTTTGTTTCTGATACTTCTCTGCAGCATCTGTCTGGGCAGCAGCTCTCTCTAAAGAATAAATGCACAATGACGATTCTGCACATGGGGTTGTCAGGAATCCTTTGCTGAAATTTTAATGCACAGTGAGATCTGGCTTGCTCCTAAGCTCAGAGAAGCAAGTGATAGACGCAGAGATCTCGAGTGTGACATTCCATTTGTGTTAGGTTATTCAGCAGGGGCGTGGAAGGAATTTAAATTAATGACAGTTTGTAAAGGGCTTTGAGGTGAAAAATTAAAAATATTCCCCTTCAGTAGGGTGTAGAACTCCTGTGTCTCACATAATGCATTCATTACATGAAAAAAAAGATAGCTGATTATGACTGGAGCAAAATATTAATAGAAATAACTGAGAATAGGTATTAAATGAAGAGGATTGAAACCTGCGGTTCCTCTGGTGATAACACTGCAAAACCAAGTGTCTAAATTGAAAATCAAGACTGTAAAGTTAATTGGTTACCCCATGGCAGGCTCCCATCCATAGAAGTGCAGCATCTACCCTGCGCTTTTAATCAAAAAGTTGCTGACCAAAGTAATCTGTGTCACCTCTTAAGTTGACCCTGTTGTTCCATTGTTCACTCTTTCCAAAAAGATCTTGTTATGGGGCATCTCAAAGTCATGCTTCTGCCGCCTTTTGTGGTCTCTTTAGCTCCCCGATGATTAGTTCTTTTTATTTCTGGTATTCAGTTCAACTCCTCATCCACAAAACCCATTCTGTAAATACAAGCCTGAGCCTAGTTCCATGGGAGTTAAAATCCATAAAATTTGTGTCTAATCAACCAATCACCTCCCAAAAATGACTGTACAAACTCCTTGAACGGTCTCGCTGTGGAATCGCGTAA